ATGACATAATGACACCATCTTACAATTCATTTAATGGTGGCATGATTGTTATGGTGTCATAAATGATGATTTATATAGTTTTAATATGTGCTCAAAAAACTGTCCACATGAGTCATGCTTTTGTAAGCCTTGTATCTCCACCATATCTCCTCTGATTCTCATGATATAGTGCTCAATTGAAAGCCCTGAAGCAGCACTACAATGTAGTATCAGCATGTCACTGAGGTCTTTCTGTATTCTCACACAATATTATAAATAGTAAAAAATGCACAAACATGCAGACAGTTTTTTGAGCCACTGTATGTCCATTATAATAGCCCTAAAAGCTTAGAAAGATCCATGAAGGATTGATGTAATGACAGGCAAAAATGATATATGTGTGAAAAGTGACAATAGGCATCTTTTTACACAAAGTCACATTTATATATGATTCAGGCCAAAGATTTCATTAAAAATATGTAGGATAGATTGTAAACTACCTAAGGAACCCATACTGCCTACTGCACTGAGGGTAGGAGTGGCTGGAAGGGATGTAGTGAAAATATGAGTTGACCCAGCATTAAAGTCCTACCACTGCTCAACTGACCATTTTCGATGCTTTGGGTCTTTGAAGTTTCCCACACTCAATTTCTTGTCTATTTCACTTCCTCAGCACTCAATTCTTGGTGGATTTGTCTGTAAATTTATGTCTATGATACTTGATATATTTTAAATATACTCCAGGTTTATGATTATTAAGATTCAATGTCTTGAAGGTATGGCCCCTTATCAGTAGAAATGGCAAGCATACACACTAGCTCACAACTCCAACCTATTGTTAGCTGATCTTGGTCATAAGAAGCAAGAATATAAGCCATACTTGTTATATATCAAAAGGTTGGATCATGGATGCAAGAGCAAGATACTGAAAATCATGAAAAATGTCAAAAGTGCAATTGTCTATGTTTTGTTCCTGGAGAAGGATCATGTGTGTCCTGGGCTGGCTATATGATATATCTACTCCAAATATGCTCAGGAATAGACTCCCTACTGTCCTTGAGGTCTAGTCCTGCAGGGAAAAAATATCCAGGGAGTGAACCACCAGGAGAGGGGGAGGTACACTATACAATAAAGGATTACCATATGGTCCTGAGCTCCTGATACATTGTTTCTATTGCTGAATAGATGATAGGGATATAATTTCAAAGTCTATTCACCTATAAATAAACACATAGGAATATCTTTTGTATTTTGATGGATACATGCTATATCCATTTAAGTACCAAGTCCCAACACTTGATAGTTGGTAGTCAGTATTTGAGCTCCGAGTGCTAATATCACCTACCAATATGTTTACCTTGACTCAGACTACAACTTTTATTTTTTTCATTATCCCCGATGTTTCAAATTTCTTTAGCATATATCTTGGTCAAATGATACCCAATGGACAAGAAAAGACTGCCAATACACTCACCTAGACTTGGACCACAACTTTCATTGTTTTCATTATCCCTGAGGGAGAGTGATTTGCCAATATCAGCTGCCAAGTCTTGACTGCTGAATCCCAAGTACTGAGTCCCAACACTCAGTAGTCATCATTATCACCTTGGCAGTGATGTAAGTCCTGAGTCCTGAGAACCCACTATCAAGACCCAAAACCTGAGTTCCATACCTGACCACCGAATACCAAGTGTCAGTACTCAAGACTCAGGACTGTTGGCTGGAGTACCTGACTACTGATTCCCAGGTACCAAGTATCAGAACTGAGTACCGAGTTCCCAACTACTGATTCCCAGGTACTGAGTACTGATTCACAAGTCTCAAGTACCAACACTCAGTAGGACCACCAATACATGCACATAGACTTGGATTAAAACTTTCATTAAGGAAGTGAAGCATAATAATGATTTTCATTTTTTCATTATTGCTGATGTTTCAGATTTCTTTAGCTTATATCTTGGTCAAATGATAACCAATTGAAAGGGAAAGACTACCAAGACACTTACCTTGACTCACACTACAACCTTCATTAAGAAAGTTAAGCATAATAACAACTTTCATGTTTTCATTATCATTTGCCTATATTGACTACCAAGTCCTGAGTCCCAACACTTGGAAGTCAGTAGTACCGGGTTTTAGCACTTGACACTTGGTGAATTGTGTAATGAAATAAAAAATTTCATGTTATACACATTTTTTTGAGATTTGGTTTATGGTTTTTGGTTTTTGAGTTTCAGGTTTCAGGCTTCAGCACTTGACACTTGGTGAATTGTGTAATGGAATAAAAATTTTACATGTTATATACATTTTTGTGAGATTCAGTTTTTGAGTCTTGAGTTTTGGTTTGTGGTTTTTGGTTTTTGAGCTTCAGGCTCCAGCACTCAACACTCAGTGAATTGTGTAATAGAATAAAATAAAATAATGTTGTATACAGTTTTTTGAGATTTGGTGTTTGGTTTTCAAATTTTGGGTTTCAAGTCTTGAGTTTTGGGGTTCAGGGTTTGGGTCTCAAGTCTCAGCACTTGACACTCAGTGATTTGTGTAGTGAAAAGTTCACATATTTGGCACTCGGCACTCAGTGATTCAATAAATGGACTTCAAACTTTTTCAAGTTTTGAGTTTTGAGCTTCGGGTTTCAGGTTTCACTTTTTGTATATCTGGGGCTCAGGTTTCAGGGTTCAGCACTTGACACTCAGTGATTTGTGTAATGGAATACAATTTTTACATGTTATATACATTTTTGTGAGATTTGAGATTTGAGATTCAGGTTTCAGGTGTTCAGGTTTTGAGACAGTGATTTATGGTGAATGAAAAATGGATATGTTCCACACTGGGTTTCAGTTTTTGGGCTTTTGGGCTTCGGTACTTGGTAATTGGTGAATGTCAGACATGGTGTATTCAGGTTTTTGGGCTTTGGGCTTTGGTGGTTGATGGTAGGTATATGCACTCATATAGTGGGTATGTACTCCATGTGCTCAATTCTCTGGTGCCTACATCAGCACACTGATTTGTATGTTATCCAACTATCTCAGCCCAGTTATGTTTATTGCACTCATTTACCTGGGCCCACCCAACATGAAACTTCTGGTGTCGGCATTTGGTACTCAGCACTTGGTGAAGAGTTTTGAGTTTTGAGTTTTGATGTTTGAGTTTCAGGTGTTGGTACTTGGGTTTCAGTACTCAGTACTTGGCAATTCAAGACTCAAAACTCAACACTTGTAAAAATATGAGTTTTGAGTTTTGATGTTCAATGTTCTAGTTTCGGGTGTTGGGTTTCAGTACTTGGTACTCGGTGATTCGAGACTCAAAACTCAAAACTTGTAAAAATGTATAAGTTTTGAGTTTTGAGTTTTAAAGTTTGTTTTGATGTTCCAGTTTTGAGTTTTGGGTTTCAGTATTTGGTAAATGTTAGATATGGTGTATTCAGGCTTTCAGCTTTCAGGTTTCCATGGTCAATGGTAGGTATATGCCCTCATATAGGGGTATGTACTCCATGTCTTCGATTCTCTGGGCCTACATCAGCAAACTGATTTGTTTGTTACCCAACTATCTAAGCCCAGTTATGTTTATATGTGATAACAACCACCTCAGCCCACCCATCAATATAATATATATCACTACCTCAGCCTATATGTCCATATGTCCATATAGTATACCAATACCTTGGCCCTTATGTCTATGGACCGTCTTCCAAGGTATCACTGGATTCTGAGTTGACAGGGTGCTTGGCTGTGTTGACTTTGATTGACATGGACAGGATCTGAGTCTGAATGTCATTGATGACTTGGATCAAAACTAGTGCAACAGCATTGCTCATATGTCCATATAGTATACCAATACCTTGGCCCATACATCTAAATGATACATATCTGGGCCCATCTGTCTATATGACATCCCCCTATGTTGTTGGCCCATCCATCTATGTAATATACCCCTATGTCAGCCCACACATCTATCTAATATACCCCACATCAGCCCACCCATCTATGTAAAATACCCCACATTGGCCCACCCATATATATAATCAATATTTCACCACTCCCTTGGCCCACCCATCTAAAAAATAATACTAATATGTCAGCCCACCCATCTAAACAATATACCATACATTGGCCCACCTGTCTATATAATAATATTTGCCTTACATCTCTCTGCAGCCCAGCTGTCTATAATATATGTCTATCCTACTCTACATATTACCCAGATGGTCCCACCCATCTCTATTGGTAATAATATTTCTCCCGGCCCATCTGCCATTGTCAAGGATATTTATAACATCAGCATAGATGGGCCCACCTGTCAACATCAAGGATATACATAACATTGGCCCATAGTCCACTGGCTCATCTTATACGGGATATTATGTAGGTTGGTGACCTGTATAATACAGAGTTTGTCACTGAAGGGGCTCTTTTTGCAGCAATATAATAACCTATATTACCCAGTATATAGATATCAAAAAGTTGATGCTCTATTTTGAGCCACATTTCAGCAAGAATTTGTGCATGTACGAAACACAGCTCAGTGAGATTGCTCAATTTTTTTTCCATGTCTACTAGAGGTATCTATAGACCTAACTACAGAGTATCAAGGCATATCAAATGTTAATTTAATGAGTTATTGCTAAGTGTATCAAGGAATGGTGGTGTGTCAACCAGTGGTTGTACACTGTACTGTTTAAAAGAAAATAGATGGAAAATCCAGTATTATCCTTGAAGGAACATGACAAATTTTTGCATCATGTCCCATGCACCAAAAATCTTTAACACATGATTTTTTTTCCAATGTTTTGATAGGAAACATGAGGGGTTTCTATCTGCTCAATCAAATTTTTTTGGATGTTTTTTGGAGAAAAATGGGAATATGCCTGCAGTGAGAATATATCTATGTTTTGTAGCTACAATTGAAAGTTTTATGTGAGAATCAAATGAACATGTGAAGCTACTTGTATAATAGAAAGAAGTACAAGGCTAGGGCTACAACTAAGCCTACAAACAAAAAATGAGCAGGAAAAGTAGGAGCTACATGGTAGTGTTCTCTTGTTTGGTGTGGATGATCATAGACTGTAAAAATGCCTTGCACGGCTCAGGATCATCAACATCTAAGAATGTGCCGCATGCTGCTGCATTCATCATGAACACATGCATGAAAACCACCTTATCATCCTTCAAGATCCCTGCAGCCAACTGCATTAACTTTGGCATACACGACCTATGTTCAGCTACATGAGCATTGTCAGTGCCAAAGTTTGTGTTCAATGAATCTGACAGGTGGTTGATAGTGCCTTGAAGATTCATCAACATGGCAGTATTGGTAGTATCTTGAATGGTCTTCTGGCTTGTGCTTAGGCATGTCTTACCACTGACTGTTGACAGCCTTGGTTTCTTCTCCGACTCTGGCTTCATCACCTGCAACACAGAAGTGTGAGTGGTGGAGGGAGGAGCTGAATAACCTTGGGTCATCTCAGAGTGTGAACACTTGCCAGTGCTGGAGCCTGATGACATAGGGACAGAAGACATGGGGGGGCAATGCTAGTACTGCCATCTGCAAATATAGGACCAGGGGGGGAGCACCCCAGCTGATGTCCAGCTGGGCTATACTTATGTTGGTGGGAATGAAGTTTGGAACAAAAGGAGATGGCACTATGCTTTCAGCATCCATCATGCTGGTGTCAGCATTGTAAGGTGTGCTGCTCATGCTAGCAACCAGTGCAGCTGATTGAGCAGGGTGATATGTGGCCAATCCTTGTGCAGCACTCTCCTTGGGGAGGATGTTATCCATTTTGGAATAGAAGGGCCAACCATTTTCTTAAATGGTTTCATGCAGGGCTGTAAAGAGATAGTAAGTGTCAGCTTCAATGAAGATCAAGGCAATATTGGCACATACCTTCTTACTAACATACTCCTTTCACACAGCTTCAGTGGTTGACCCATCAACATTGGCCCCACACTCATTGTCCCAATGACAACCTGACTACTGACTGATTGCAGTTGGGAAACATGAAGGTTGATCACCTCTCAGAAGAAGAATGTGCAAACCACTTCAAGAGAGGGCTGTGTTTCACATGCCACAAGGCAGGCCATTGTGCCAATAATCAGAAATATCATCTAAAAGGGAATGGGAAGGTTTCCATTTGCCAAGAAAAGATTGAGGAAGAAGATGAAGAAGTTCACCATCTCATGGAGGATTTTTAGAATGGAAGACTGGTTCAACATCAGTATCTTCCCATGTACCTATCAGACTTATTCATGCAATTGGAGAAGCAAGTAATTTTGTGTTCCTATGACACTTATCTCCCATATTCATTTGAAAACTGTCGAAACTACTGCTGTTGTCAATTCTGGAGCAGCAGGAACCTTTATTTCCAAAGATTTTGTGAAACTCCACAAAATGAAGAGTAGTCTTATGAAAACCTTCAAGGTTATGACCACCAATGGAAGTTGTCTAAAAGTGGACTGATTACACATTATTGCACATCAACTTCTGAATCATGAACCTGGAAGAATTTGAAACTGAAGAAAGAACCTGTCCCTGAATCCCCAAAAGTCACACCAATAACTGCCTCCATTGAAGAGATTCCTGATGAAGAAGTTTACACTGCACCCCCCTCTATCCCCAAAACCTCTGAAACCTATGATACTGAGGAAGACATATGGGATAAATATTAACCCTCTATCAAAGATGTAATCACTTACCCTTTGAACAGAAATGTGGTGTGGATAACACAACTTGGCTAGATAGTTGTTAGAATACCTAGCCAATATATGTCTACTAATCCTGCCTAGCTGCTACACTTGCAAGTAAGAATGTTCAACCCAAGGGATCTGCTGTCTAGTCAAGTTCAATAATCAGTACTATGCAAAGGGGTCAAAAGTCTGAAGGTATTGGGTGAAGTCTGATGCATGGGAAATCAGGTCCACAGGTGTGGAGATGCGGAGATGGTGGGAGAGTAAGGGAAATTGAGGGAATACATCAGGACTAGCTTGGAGATGCTAGGGAACATCAGATGAATGAGTGACACTCATGTCGGGTCAGGGAGAGCAGGTAAACAGGTATATTGGCAAGGGTAACTTTAAGGACAGGTATGGGGTGACCAGTATCGGGGATTTCTCCCTCCTACTAAGTGGTCATTGTAATTCTGGTTGCCCAACCCTATATAACTAGCTATGTGAAAGTCCAGAATCCATAGGTGAAAGTAGTAGCAAACATGTGAGTCTGATAATATGTAGGTAAAAGCCCATGAGGTACTGTGGCCAGTGGGAATCCATGTAATAACACTGTCTACTCAATTAGTAATGGGAAATAACTGACTACACACCAGTGGGGTTAAGCAGGACTGGACTGGACATGGTAAGGCAAGTGCATGGGATCCCCAAGCAGGTCCAATGTGTTGGAGATGTGGAGATGGCGGGAAAGTGTTGGAGATGGGTAGGAGATATGCGGACTGGGTGGGGATTGCAGAATGGGGTCCTAGCAGGCCAGCCTGAACATGATCGTCACAGCGGGTCATCAAGAATGTTTCTCTTGACACTCCACTGACAAAGGATGGAACCTTGAAGGCAGAACAGAAACCTATGTTGCCTAAGATCAGTAATCTTGCTCAGAAATTCACTATTGCAGGAACAGAAGGAGAAGCCACAAAAAAGAAGAAATTGTTTGAAGAACTCATCCCTTCCTACCTCTATGATTTTGCTGATATATTTGTGAAAGACAGCCTAAACAAACTCCTTCCTAAATGACCTGGTATAGATCACTGCATTGAAACAAAACCTGGTTTTATCCCCAAAACATCAAACATATACCCCTTATCTGAGAAAGAATGGTCCATGGTCAAGGCTTTTATTGACAAAAACATACAAAAAGGCTTTATTTCTGAATCAAAGTTGCCACAAGCTAGTGGCTTCTTCTTTGTCGGAAAGAAGTACACCCTTGTCAAGATTACCAGTATATCAATGATTGGACAATTAAAAATTTCTACCCTTTGCCCCTTCCTCTCATGCTCATCACCTGACTTCATGATGCTAAATACTTCATGAAAATGGATTTACACTCTGGATATAACAACAACCATATTCACCTGGAAGACCAATGGAAAGCAGTGTTTACCACAGAATTTGGACTCTTTGAACCCAATGTCATGTTCTTCAGTCTTTGTAACTCCCCAGCAACATTCCAAACCTACATGAACTGCACTTTCCAACAGGAGATGAATGAAGGATGACTGGTAATCTATATGGACAACATATTGATTTCCTTGAAGATGCTCAATGAACATCACAAATGCACATGATTAATGAAGATACAACAGGAGAAATTGTTCCTAAAATCAAAGAAGTGAAATATCTCAGTATGATCATTAAACCCAGATATGTCATGATGGACCCTGCAAAGTTGGATGGTATCAAGGATTTGCCTACACCCACATTGGTTAAAGAAACCTGGTCTTTCCTCAGATTCTGTAACTTCTATCAGAACTTCATTTCCCATGATTCCAACCTCACCTGACCTCTGATTGATTTAGCAAAGAAAGATACCATGTTGAGCTGGTCCACTGACTGTAGAAAGCATTCCTATCATTGAAAGATTGCTTCTTGAAACAACCCATTGTGACAACCAAGTTTTCCTTGGGCTGTTATTTGCTTGTTTTACTTACCTTCTCTTATTCCCACTTTCCTTAGGTTATTTCGCATTTTTGCTGCTTACATAATCATCTTCCCTTTACCTAGGACTCTACAGTCACTACTCCGGTTTCCCTTGTTTCCAGTTCTTGGTTGCTCCCCATTCACTTGGGTTATTTAGTAGCATCCCCTAGTTGTAGCTTTCTAGTTGTAGCTTCTTCAGCTCACCAGCTAGCTCCTGGAACATAGTTTCTGTCTTTGGCTTGAAGTGTCTCCCTTTTACTCATTCTATCTCTTGAGCTTGAGCCTAGTCTATTGAATCCCTTGGGTCAAATGTTCTTGCTTGCAGGTGTAGCAGCTAGGCAGAGCATTGACCATTATACTGGCTGAGTACTTTCACCAAGTATCCAGTCAGGTTGTGTCTTTCACACTGTCCTCCAAAATCCCAACCTGACTCAACAACTCACTGTTGCCACTGACACAGTCCTGCTACAGACTGATAAAAATGCATTATACCATCCATGTGGATATCTTTCCCAATCCCTGAATCCTGCAGAATGAAACTACCAAATATTTGATCATGAACTCCTCACTGTTATCAGAGCTCTTATAGAATGGTGTCATTATCTAGAAGGGAACCCCCATCCAGTTATTATATTCACTAATTATCAGAATCTCCTCTATTCCTGCACTGCTTAACATCTCACCCATCGTCAAGCACATTGGCAACTTATCCTATCTATGTTCAACATTGAGTTACACCACATGCCAGGCACCAAGCTTGCCACCCCTGATGCCCTATTGTGCCACACTAATCATAACTCCAATGCCATGGATAACACTGATGTCATACTCTTTCCCAATTCCATGTTTATTTGCCTCATTGATGATTCATTGATCAAAACCCTGACAACTACTGACCCCTTATCTGATACCATTTTCTCTGCCACATCTGATGCACTAGATGGGCTATGCCTTCCTCCCATAAAATCTGGTCTCTCTAACTGGCATATTTGTGATGGTATCTTGTATTACAAAGACTGTGCTTTTGTGAAACCTTCGGCTCACTCAGACATTCTTTGCCACCTCTATGATCATCCTACAGCAGGCTATCCTGGCCATTTTAAAATGAAAGAACTAGTAAAACAAGACTATTGGTGGCCTGGACTCAGCACCTATGTCTGAAAATACATTGAATGTTGCACCCTTTGTCAGCAGATGAAATCAGATATCCACCCTACAATGCCTCCTCTAATGCCTATTTCCACTGATACCATCCTTCCCTTCACTCATCTGTCCATTGATTTGATTACCAATTTGCCTCTTTGCAATGGTTTTGATTCAGTCATGGCCATGGTCAACCATGGGCTTAGTAAGGGGGTAATTATCATCCCTTGCTTAAAAACCATTACCTCCAAAGGCATGTCTACAAGTGATTTGGACTTCACGAAAAGATCATATCAGATAGAGGACCCTAATTTGTATCAAAATTCTCTAGAGCACTTGCTAAACACCTTGATTATTCCATTGCACCATCCACTGCTTATCACTCTCAGACTGATGGTCAAACAGAATGGCTCAATCAGGAATTAGAAACATATCTCCAATCCAAATCTGTTGCTGAACCAGCCCTGAAACATGGGTTGAACACCTTCTCCTTGCCAAATTCATCCATAACCATTGAAAACATGATTCACAAAACACTTTCCCTTTCTTCCTCATGATTGGATACAACCCACAACCATTACCACATGCCCTCCCAGATTCTATCATTCCTGCAGCAGAAGAACAACTCCACATATTGCAGAAAGTCTGCAAAGAAGCAGTTGCCTGTCACAAGATCAGCATGCAATGAATGGCAGAACACTCTCACAGGATGAAATATACCCTGTGGAAGATTGGAAATGAGGTTTGGTTATCAGCAAAGAATTTTACCACACCATTCCCTTCTAAGAAACTTGTGCCTAAACAATACAGCCCCTTTACTGTGAAAGCTGTACTTTCCCCCATCACATTTACACTTGAACTCCCTGACCAATGACAAATTCACCCCACATTCCATGCTTCTGAGCCATCTTCCTATCATGAAACTGATGTTCATGGTCCAAACTTCCATGGTCCTCCTCCTGATATCATAGAAGGAGCAGACAAATATGAAATAGAAGCTATCCTTGTGTACAAGGGAACAGATAAATGAAGATGCTATCTAGTATCCTGGATTGGGTACTCTACAGCTGTTAAGGACATACTCAAGGGCTAACAGATCCTAAGGGCTTCAGCCTCAGCTCATGCACTGTGCCCCTTACTCGAGTATTGCCCCTTATTTCAGAAGGGCAAGACTGATGTGTCCAGAGGGTTGGATGAGTAGCGTAGTGGATCTAGATGACTTCTGGATGCAGGATAAGTATTGTAGGGCTAATCCAGATGAGTCCAAACTAGAAACTAACAGTAGTAGACTGTCGTAGACAGAGGCGGATATGGATAGATTATAGGAATCAATCCTAAGTCTCGGAGGGTGATGAGAGTAGAGATACTCAAGTCCAGAGGACAGGAATGAGTAGAACTAAGATGATATTCAAACTGAGGTACTACAGAGAGTTACAGGAGGTTATATACTATAGGTATCTAACAGAATGATCAATCAGCAGAGACCGAGGCTATGTACAAAGCATATGGATAGTCTATTGGTAAGTAGAAACAGATCACAAATAATGCAATGGAAATCAAGCATAGGTAACAGATCAGTGAGTAGGATAGATATACAGATAACTGAAATACCAGAGTTAGGGGATTACCAAAAGGAGATGAGCACTGATTTGTGGATTCGGATGAATTGTGGACTGGACTGGACGAGTGGCAGATTGGATGATGAGATGTTAGAGGGAGATAAGATGTGGAAAGGATTGGAGATAAGATGTGGATCAGATCGGAGATCTAGATATGTGGATATGATAACAGCTAGTAACAAATAGCTCCCAGAATCTAATCTCTGCAATGCTCCCGATATCCTCTCTGCCTATAAGAAGTCACATCAACTCTAGATAAGAAACAGCCATGTCTTCCATCAAAATTGCCCTTGCTGAAATTGCAACTACTCTTGACTCCATCAACCACAAAATGAACATTGACCAGATCAATGCCATAGCCAACAACAACCCTACAGAATCCCTTTCCTTGTCTTCCATATCCACCTTGTTCAAGCCAGATTGTGTTGTCTTAGAACATGAACATGCTTTGGATGTGAAGTAAGTAGTCAGTATTGCTTACATAATGGATGTTTGTCAATTGGGCACATGAGGCTATTCGTCTATGTACTGATTTGATGATTGGCAACTATCACTAATGTTACTTTTTCACATTCTTTGAATCAAATGAGTATCTCAAGAATGATTGGGTGTGTAATCATGTGGAGCTCAAGGAGATCACAGAAAGGCATAAGGCAGAGTTAGATGAGATGAGGAACAAATATGAAGAAGACCTTGAGAGCTATTGCAACCAGATGGATGATTTGGAAGATATAAAACTGTAATACTTGACATCCAGATGGATGATGTGGAGCAGCTTGACATGCAAACAGATGCTCAGAGGAAGGAGATAGAGGACCTTATCAGCCTCTGGATTCAAAATGAGATGGAGGGGTACCAAGCAATTGCTGTCATCAGAGACAAAATCATCAACTTGATGGATTATGCACTCTTGTAATGCTTTGGTTAGACACATGCATTTGATATTAAATGTTTCCCACACCACTAAGTGTTACCATACAATCCTTCTTACAGCTTGCTTCAGACACATGTAATCTGTATTTAACTGTTCCAATACCATTTTTCAAGGGCATATAGCACTTTCATTGAAGCCTCAATGTTGGCCATCAGCTCACAAGATCTCATTCTTCAACAGTTACTGATGGGCACTTAATGACAACCAGCTACCATTCACAGCAAGGTCTGTGACTGTAGAATCAGGAGGTGCAAGTCTATCAGTGAACACAGTGGTATGTAGTTGTGATGCATTTCATGATTGTCAATTGGTCCCTGATACAGTGAGGCTGTGATGGTGCTGTCAGATTTGATGGTTTACATGTTCAAACTTTGAACTATTTACCAACTGTGGCTTTAACCACAATGTGCATGCAGATGTAGTATTGCCTGCCATTGACAGCAACATCGCCAGTAGCAGTGCATGTATACTGGCTTGAAGCATCAATACTGTAATTCCAGTTGTCCCTCAAGTCACATCTGGATGCTTCCATTCTCCAAGACTTGTCAGTATCTGCATATTGTCAGCAGTAGTGTGCACTATCTCACTTCATCTGAGTTATCCTGTGAATGAATTTGTCATTCCACTTCAACAGCATGCACTGTGCATCCCTAAGTCCATGTACACAATACATCTTCTTCACTTCCATCTCACAGTTCAGTGATGTAGATCTGGAAGGCATTTAGCAGCATTGTCAAGTGACATAGGATATGTATCTGTAACAGCATGTTTCCATGATTGGAATGAATGTTTTGACTGTGTACTATTAGCTAGCATGAATTAAATGCATGGTCTAAACCATAGCACATGAGCACTGCAGATGATCAATTGAGAACCCATCACTTGATGTGCTATTAGCAGGTCCATTGCATGGAAGAAAGTGACATTTTGAATACTCATCATCACCTCAACCATCACCATTTAATATTGACTGATTCATATAAATCTCACATATCAGTGTATTTCATGCCTGTAAGCGATAACTCAAGTATGATCACTCTTGATGTTCCCTAATGAACACTTGCTGATGCCCTTCATACACTGACAATATGGTTCTTGTCCATTGCTAGTCACGAAAACCTGTGACCAGGCCACATGAGAAAACCATGTGAAATTCCCAAAAAGAGGTTTAAGTGAATCTATGTGAAAGTCATGCAAGCACCCATGACATCCCAAAACCCATTCTCCCTTACTTTATATATTTGGCCATCTCATCCTAAAAGGCCCTCTCTGGGCTGCTACTATGGGCAGATATTGGAGGAAATGTAGATGTTGCATAGAGTATGACCTATTACCATTTGTTTCCTGTTAAGCTAATGGATAAAACAGATCAGTCACAATACAATAGACAATGCCTCCAATGACAATACACTGATACAGGAATTTGAGATGGATATAAGCAGATGGAAGATTTCATTCAATCATGATGGCAACTGACTCAGGTGGGCACAGTCAAACTTGTATGTGTGATTGCTCACACCTCCCAGATGCTTGCACATGCACTGAACTTGGCTTGCTAGTGTTTTGTTACTAAAATCAAGAACAACCTATTCATGCCAGTCATTGAAATTGAATCTTCAAGTAATCCTGCAGTCCAGAAACACCTTGAGATTTATGCAGCTTAGCTGGTTACAGATTCTGTTTGGGATTGTCCACAGCATTTTTGCTGCATATGTTGTGCAATTGTTATGCAACTGTGAATCTCACTAGTCTTTGACATATTTGATGAGGGGCATCATGTGGGATAGTAGGTAACAGATTAATAGTGATCCAGCAGTAATCTAGAATTCTCAATTCCAATGTTTAATTCCATTTTTGTAAATGCTAAACTACATATTGTAAACATGTTCTATCTCAGCAAAAGTTATTAGTGATTCATCAGATTAGAATAAATGTATTTGGCTCATGTAATCCACCACATGTCCAACCTCATTTATTTGGGCATCTTGATATGGCATTAGTATTTACAAAAGGAGTATGTGGTGCATAACTTATCCAATGTCATTTCATGTGCTTGTGTCACATGAGGGAAATCAGTTCCAAGTTCAATATATGATCATATGTATATTTATGACTCTCCTCAACATCACTGCTCCATGAATCCATCTTGTAACTTTTGTGAATAGAATAAACACAATGCCTGGCAGTTGCTGAAAGTCAAATGGATCATCCAAGATATTAATGGAGAGTGTTCCCTTGAGGTCACTGGATATTCATACCAGGGGTGCCCTATAGCTCCTCACTATTACTCACCCTTATATGTGCTCAACAAGAAGTTGAGTATTTACAGAAAGGTTATGGAACACCTACAGAAATTACCCCATGTTGAGGTTGCCACACTGCATAATACCTATTTGTCAGTTATGCAATATCTTCACAATGTATGCGTTGCATTTCTCAATGATGCTGGTACATCTTTAGATCCACTACATGGTGAATTTAGATCTGTCATGTTGGACTACTACCTTTGGTTGGACCACACTTGTGATGCCTTTCATGCTGTATGTTGCAAATCCTTGACTGCAGCTCATGGAGTCACCTTTGAAGGCCTGAAGAATGGAGAGTGTTCTGACATCCCAGTATTCTGTGCATTCTCCAAAGTGTCAAGTGTCTGTTTACCTCATTTTTCAATGCAGTAAATTGGACTGCATATCCACATAAAAAATGCAGGGAGCATAATTTCTGTGGAGCCCTACAAGGAACTGGCACAGGAGAACACATTAATGTCTTACTAGATGCAGTTGATTCCTCTCTAAATGTGACTATAGATCCACCGAGCACTATACTATCTGAATCCAATTCATCTGCTCAGATGATGACATTCTATAGAGCATGTAGTCTTTCATTCCAGTTATGTTGACTTTAACATTATACATCATATCAAATTGGCAAGGTCAATAGTGACAGAAACTGCAGGTCAAAATTAATGTCACAATACAGGGATGGCAAGCCTGCCTTCATGTTTCTATGCAGCTGATGCCCAAGAGTTGCAATACATTCCTTATTAAACCACTGGTGGCATATCCTACAATATCACTGGAAGGTCATTGGCAAGTGAAATGCAGGATCACATCAAGTACATGCACACTTGGTGGCTATCTGGGAGTTCTACATATGTTTATTGGCTATCAGCACAGATACAAGCAGAGAGATATTTGCATACACAGATGTTTACTGCTTTCATGTATACCATTGTATGATCCTCTGAAAATTTAATATCAATGGTCCACCAATTATACAGTATCCCTATTAGTATCTGAGGTCGTGCTAAATCACCTTCATCATATGGCAGGATAGTTGCATGATCTACAAAGCATGCACAGATGTCAATCAACTGGCTCAAATATGCAACCATCTCTAGGTACCTACCCTCAACACAGCACATGCCCACTCCAGTTATAAGATCACTGAGGATGAGCCCATATTCACCAACAGAAGCTGTGAGACTAAGTATAGAAGAAGGCATCAGAACAATATCAGTCATTATAAATTAAAATCAACAATGTACTCAACACCCTCATCTTCTAAGTAACCTTGTGATAATACCACTGTATTTTGAGCCATATATCCTACAATAGAATGTTTAGGTGAGTCACAACTGGTGGGACATTTAAAATGTACTGCACTTGCCTGGATCTGCCTACCAGCCTTGAGATAGATATCAACTACCTTACCATACCAATAGGACATCAATGACAGACTCCCATCTTGCAGCTGAACCACTTGTTCATCTAGTGGATAGATTGAGACATTGAAAAAACCATGTGAGGATCACAGTGAAAATACACAGGCACATTCATACTCCTCTCCTACTTGAATCACCATACTATGGTTCACATCATTACCATTTGAATTGTCATCAGCATTATATATCTGTGAAAATAAAGATTAATATAAATGTGAATCTAGGACATTTAAATGACCACAAGAGAGTGTCTATGTTAACTTACATTCCAACAAGGTGCATCACCTCAATCTATGGAGATGAGGATGATCATGGCACATCAGTGTTAACCTTCTCCTTCCATTTGTGTAGGATGCATAACTTGTGATCAATAGTCTGCAGGGCATGAAAGGTTGAGTGGGAGCAAAAATTCCACAAAGAATGTTGAGGGTTGAATGAAATAAGTATCATCAAGTGGAGCTTTTGGCATATCCACCAAAAACATGTCAATCTGACAAACAGATCAAGAAAAAATGTTATGCTTAGACTTATGAGGTGGAGGGTTGTTCTTATGGCATTGCAAGAAGTGTTACACAAATGAATCAGATCTGACTGCAGCTCATGAAATGCTAAAGTTCCATTCCATTGAACTGAAACCTTAAGATGCCTAAAAAATCCAGAGGCTATGCCAGGACAGCCTGTTGACCCAAGACATCAGCAGGGTTTTTTGCATCAGTAATCAGTTAGGTAGTCCATCATGGATGTAGTTTGATTGATTGCATCATATGGATATTTCTATGGGCCTTTGGACTGAATATAATTAAAATTTTACTAGAGTATAATCCCCCACTCACATAACAGCATACTTCATATGATGGATGATGAGGATTCACTAGACATTCTGCAGCAAATCATTAAATTGAACATCCTGGATCCAGAACCACAGGGATTGAGAATACCAGGAGCTACCCAGTGCAGTTCTATACATTACAATAGCAGCACATGATATTGCATGAGGGGAGCTGTGAACAACCTAATCTGGGTGACAGCTCCTTATATAACATAACAGGTGTGGTATTTTGTATGGTTGGTGGGGCAATGCAGAAGGAATTTGATGAAGAAATAACAGGCATTGGGGGTGAAGGATAATGAGAGCCATATGAAGGTGAGTGTCAATGTGGTTGGAGTTGGAGTTGGATTGGAGGAGGCCAGAAGGGTTAATAAGAGGGGTCGTCTTTGAGAAGGAAGGAAGTGTTATGAACTTGGATAGAGTCATTCCAATAAAGGAATCAAAGACCAGGTCCAATTCCAGTCGAGCTTCCCCCCCCACCCATCCTCGCCAGCAATGTCACCAAGGAAGTCTCCCATGATTTTTGCACTCTTCTCCCAACTGCCAAAGTCTGTGATGAAGACTCACAAGTGTGCAAAGTTGTCTTGCATTGTCTTACTAGGATGTGAAAGGCAGAAAACTCACCAAATTCACCATCCTTATATGGTCAACAGTTTAGACAAATACCAACAGTTGATAACATAGTTGTTTGTGGGAGACAAGGTTTTTTTTGTTGAACTTTTCAAGTGAACACTAGTGATGTAAAATGGGCAAAGAAGTGTGGAAATCAATAATTGGCTTGATGCAGTGCTATGACCTTCAGAATAATATGTTGCAGCTGTATGCAATGACTAGAGCTATAATATATCCCTGTGGATATTTCTTACTTATCTTCAGCAATGGAGATCAAATTCACTAGTAAAATTGTCCCAATACATGGCCTCAAAACCAACTCTCTGCTGCTCATGCACTCACTATGAGTATGACACAGTCCAGAACAGAGTACACCCTTTGATGTAGTCTTAAGTGGCCAAGCTCTTAATATTTGTTGACAGATTGTAGGTCTTATTTGTCTTCCCTAATTGATGAATAATATGTGTGATTCTTCCCACAGAACTTTTCCTGTGTCTAAAGAGAACTAGAATGAATACTACTTGTGTAATCAAATATGGCTTAAGTGTGTGGCCTCAAATACTTCTGAATAATGTGTGAAGAATGTGGTAAAACAATGGAGTAAATAAGCTAATATTTCTCCTAGTTGTCACTTATTTGTTCACTTACATAATAGGGGTAAAGAAACTTAGGGGTGTATGCACTAATCCTCATTTGATTCCCCTAAAAATTTGTCTCACTCTGATTGGATGATTGATACTTGGGAATGAAATTAATTATTTCACAAGAGGGGAAAATGAGCCCCTTATATACTACTATACTAGTGGCTATGCTATTGATTACTAATGTACTTAAATTAAATTGGAGTCATATTGAGTCATGCTGAGTCAGTATGAATTATTATGAGAAAGGACTATAGAATGCTCTGGAATTTTATAGAATACTTGGTAAGAATGCTTGGCAAAGGCTGTGTTAAGACCATAGCACTGCCATGCTTTGTAATAATGCTTTGTAAGGGCTGTGTTAGCACTGCCTTGTTGTTGTGCTTTACCAATCATCATCTTTCTAATTATAGTATCAATTTGTCAGGTTCCACAGCTTTGGATACATAGATACAAATAAAGTGGCATAGAATGTTGACACATGTTTATTTCATATCCAAGAAAGATAAGTGGCATGATAAGTATTTTACATGGACAGCTAAGCCATTTCTTGGTGAAACATGCTTTGAAATGTCCAAATAAAATTAATGTTGTGCATAGAAAAATTCAAGTGACTTCATAGTTTGAAATAAAGAGTAACATAAATCATAGTAGCATAAATCATAATATGGTCATGACCATGTACAAAACAAGTTTCATGCATATCAGCATTGTGAAGTCCAAGCCTATCATGGAGTCAGAAGATGAGGAAGTGTCATATCCCGTATGCCAGACATAGATCCCATCATATTCCCATGCTTTCCAGACCTATTTCCGGACCCCATATCAGACTCATTCCTGGATCCCCTATCCTGTCCACCCTATGCACATTCCGTCCAGCAAGACATCTGGACTTTACCTCCTCTCAGATTCTGGACTACATCCACCACCTCACATATCTCAGTCCTGTTTCCGCCCTGCCTTCCAGATCCCCAGATCTCCGGACCTCCAGATATTAACTGTTACTATCTCCGGACCTATTCCCGCCCTCTATCTGAGATCCTGCGCCTATCCCCATTTAGGTATCTCCACCTTTCCAGTTCTCGGTTATCTCTGTTTCCATCTTGCTGATTGATCCTTGTACTAGTTTCATCTCTGAGTTCATTTACTTATGTTCCATCTTACTTACCAATGTGTTTCTGCATGCTTGTACATAGCCTTACTCCATTGCTTACTGATCCTCTTGGATATCCTCTAGTATATAACCCCTGTACAACTACAGTAGAGTCCTCAGTCTGAATATCATCTTAGATCCTGTTCCACTTGCCAATCATCTTCTGGACTTCAGTCCGTCTGAGTCTCATCCTTTTCCATAAGGCCTAGGGAAGGATTCCCTAGGCCGGAATTCCAGACCTTCGGATTTGTCCCCTATGTCTCTGTCCCAAGTCTAGGGATTGCTTCCCTAGGCTAGAGTCTTGCCTTTCCGGCACTTACCCTCTTTCTGGACTTAGGTCCACTTCCTGTCCCTCCAACTCTACCTTAGGGTAGTCTACCTCTGTTTGCTTCTACATTGGACTTCGTCCGATGTAGCCCCTATTCCTTCCGGACCTCCGGACCTCCTGTCTTCTGTACCTCCGGATGTCCTGTCCCTCATACCTCTGGGCATCCTGTCCTTCGGACATTCCGTCCTCCACACCTCCATGTCCGTCCTCCATACCTCCAGACCTCCTGTCCTCTGTACTCCGGACCTCCGGACATCCTGTCCTCCTGTCCTCCAGACCTCCTATCCTTCCATCCTGTTTTCCTGTAGAAGTATTACCTTGCAGTGGGAACTCTCCTGAGCACTTCCTGCATTCCTCCGGAACTCTCCTGCGCTCCTCCGGACATTTCCCGCACTCCTCTGGAAGTCCTCCCACACTCTCCACCAGAGTAGCCAGCCTCCAGAAGTCCTCCGGACTTCATTGGACCATCATTGGACTTCCTCTGAAATGAAGGGCACATACTTGGGTAAGGGGCACAGCGTACGAGCTGAGGCCAAGCCCCTCTGAGTCAGTCTCTCTCTCCTTTGAGCATGGTTCTTAACAGGAAGACACAACTATTCAGGTATGTCGTCTGGTTTGTCTTTCACTTGTCTCACATTTTCTTGTAGCCATTTTTGGGTGGAGTGCCAGAGGTCATCCTTCCCTGGCTCTCCAATTTGCCTTGATCACCCTGGGTTCCAACAAAAAAACCTTTTGGCCCTGCCACAGTAAGTCACATTTATGTGTCTGGGACTCAGGTGTATGCTTACAATGTCACAGGTGATTGCTGGCAGTCACCAAGCAGTCATTGAGCCCTCCCAGCCAACTCCTAAAACCCCAGTGCAGGCACCCCCAGCCATCGATGCAGGTGATATTCTCATTCCCAGACTGGTAAGTACTTTGACTTATCTGAAGTGCATCCATACACTAACACAACCCACAGAACAACCCATGCCAGGCTTGCAGCAAGCTAGACTGGCCCTGTGCAACTCAGTTAGACAAGAGGACCAGAAATCCATGTATGTCATGCATCCACTGCACAACAAAGAAGATCAAGTGCATCTCCACAACTCTGGGACCCCTGCCAAAATGTGTTCATGCTTCCTCTACCACCCAGAAGACGAGGTCCAGGACACCCTCCAAGGCTCCCTCTAAAGCTCCCCCACCTCCCAATCCAAGGCCTGAACTTACAGTTAGTTTTGTGGCCTGTCTGGAACTCCAGCTGTCATGCTATGACAACTCCCAAGACCCAGACACATGGTTGCAGCAAGACCATCACTGCTGTCAAGGCACTTGCATCTGCACCAGCTCATAAGTCACCCAAGGTTTTTTTCATCACTGTCTGATCTTAATTTTCCCTTGTAGCACTTCTGTCTTTGAGTTCAGCAGTCCCTGCTGCAGCACTCAATGTGCCCATGCCAGATCTCCATACCATGGCAATTGTGATTTGGGATGGTGCAGCTCAAATCACTATTCTTGATGCTCATGTGGCAGAGCAGGATGGTAAGATTGATACTCTGCAATGCCTCCATGAAGGCTTTAGGCGCAAAATTGTCAACCAGCACCCCTCATTCCCAATATGCGACCCTCCTGCCAATGCAACATCCTTATTGCTTTATCAATCTGTCCATGTCACCTCCTGAATCTGCACTCCCTCCTCTCACTGATCTCTTGGTGGCAGGGATGGTGTGCACACCCCCAAAATTCAAGGATGCCTCTGCCATTGATGGTCTCCTGTTTGAGTACAACCAAGTTGTTCATCCAGAGGATCCAGATATGTCTGGTGAAATTGTGGACCCAGGTGATCTAAGCAACCTTGTCCCAGAATATGATTCTTCTGATGACACGGATGTTGAGGTGGATGTTGAGGTGAAGGTTGAAGCATCTTCTGAGGAGGTTGACATGGCTACATGATTGCATAGTGATAGATGTAGATACAAGTTTTTCATTGAATGTTACCTCTGCCAGTCCATTTATCGAGTCACTGAGTTCCAAGGACCGAGTACCAAAACCTGAAACCTGAAACTTGCAACTTGAAACTCGAACCAAGTACCAAGTACCAAAACCTGACACCTGAAACTTGAAACTCAACCATCAAAACTCAAAACTCAAAACTCAAAACTCAAAATTCTTGACCAAGTTGTCATATCCCATATGCCAGACATAGATCCCATCATATTTCCACACTTTCCGGACCTATTTCTGGACCCCATATCTGACTCATTCCCAGATCCCCTTCTGCTATGTGCTCCATATCTAAGCAGGATTAGATATGGAGCATTAGATCTGCTATGGAATTACCCCTGAGCTCCAGACCTCCGGATCTTTACTACTAGCCTGATCTGTACTCCCCTATCCTGTCCACCCTATGCACATTCTGTCCAGCAAGACATCTGGACTTTACCTCCTCTTGGATTCCAGACTACATCCACCACCTCACATATCTCAGTCCTGTTTCTGCCCTGCCTTCCAGATTCCCAGATCCCCGGACATCCGGATATTAACTGTACTATTTCTGGACCATTCCCACCCTCCATCCAAGTTCCTGTGCCTATCTCCATTTAGGCATCTCCACTTTTCCAGTTCTTGGTTATCTCTGTTTCCATCTTGCTGATTGATCCTTGTACTAGTTTCATCTCTGAGTTCATTTACTCATGTTCCATCTTACTTACCAATGTATTTCCACATGCTTGTACATAGCCTTACTCTGTTGCTACCTGATCCTCTCAGATATCCTCTAGTATATAACCCCTGTACAACTCCTGTAGAGTCCTCAGTCTGAATATCACCTTAGATCTGCCCAATCATCTTCCAGACTTCAGTCCGTCTGAGTCTCATCCTCCCCTATGTCTCTGTCCCAAGTCTAAGGACTACTTCCCTAGACTGGAGTCTTGCCTTTCTGGCACATACCCTCTCTCCGGACTTTGGTCCACTTCCTGTCTCTCCAACTCTACCCTAAGGGTAGTCTACCTCTGTTTGCTTCTACATTGGACTTTGTCCAATGTAGCCCCTATTCCTTCCAGACCTCCAGATGTCCTGTCCTTTGGACATTCCACCCTCTGTACCTCCGGACGTCCTGTCCTTTGGATGTTCCACCCCCCATACCTTCAGATGTCCCGTCCTCCTAACCCTTGGACATCCTGTCCTCCATACCTCCATGTCCTGTCCTGTGTACCTCTGGACCTTCAGTCCTCCTGTCCTCCTGTCCTCTGGACCTCCTATCCTTCCATCCTGTTTCCTGTAGAAGTATTACCTTGCAGTGGGAACTCTCCTGAGCACTTCCTGCATTCCTCTGGAACTCTCCCACACTCCTCCGGACATTTCCCACGCTCCTCCGGAAGTCCTCCTGCACTCTCCACCAGAGTAGCCAGTCTCCAGAAGTCCTTCAGACTTCATCAGACCATCATCGGACTTCCTCTGAAATGAAGGGCACATACTCGGGTAAGGGGCACAGCATACGAGCTGAGGCCAAGCCCCTCTGAGTTAGTCTCTCTCTCCCTTGAGCATGGTTCTTAAAACAAGTACTGAATACCAAGTACCAAAACCAGAAACTCAAAACCAAGTTTTGATGTTCAAGTTTCAGGTGTTGGGACTTGGGTTTTGGTACTTGGTACTCAGTGAGTTGAGACTCAAAACTCAAAACTTGTAAAAATGTATGAGTTTCAAGTTTCAAGTTTTGAATTTCAGGTTTCAGGTGTCAGGTTTCAGTACTCAGTGAATGTCAGACATGATGTATTTGTCATATGCCACAATCCAGACCCATGTTCCATCATATTCCCACACCTTCCGAGCCTACACCCGGACCCCACTTCATATCCAACTCATTGCCAGATCCCCTTCCGCTGTGTGCTCCACACCTCAGTAGGATCGACTCCACTCCAGATTTACCCCTGAGCTCCAGACCTCTGGATCCTCACTGCTAGCCTGATCTGTACTACCCTATCCTGTCCACCCTATGCACACTCTATCCAGCAAGACATCCGGACTTCACCTTGTCTCAGATTCCGGACTATATCCACCTTCTCATATCCTGGTCCTGTATCCACCTTGTCTTCCAGATCCCCAGATCTCTGGACCTCTGGATATTAACTCCGGACCTATTCCCACCCTCTGTCTGATATCCTGCGCCTATCCCCATTTAGGCATCTCTGCCTTTCCAGCTTTCGGTTACTGTCATATCCACATATCTGGATCTCAGATCTGACCCTTATCTCAGATCCACATCTTATCTCCCTCCAACATCTTGTCATTCAATCTGTCCACTCATCCGGTCCAGTCCACAACTCATCCAAATCCACAACCAGCGCTCGTCTCTTTTCGGTAACCCCCTAACTCCAGTATTTCAGTTATCTGTATATCTGTCCTGCTCCCTTATCTGCTACCTATGTTTCATTTCTGTTTCATGATTTGTGATCCGTTTCTACTTACCAATAGACTATCCACATGCTTCATACATAGCCTCAGACTCTGCTGATTGATCATTCCATTAGATACCTATAGTATATAACCTCCTGTAACTTTCTGTAGTACCTCAGTTCGAATATCATCTTAGTTCTGCTCATTCCTGTCCTCCAGACTTGAGTACCTCTACTGTCATCACCCTCTGAGACTTAGGATTGATTCCTATAGTCTATCCATATCCGCCTCTGTCCCCGACAGTCCACTACCGTTAGTTTCTAGTCTGGACTCATCCGGATTAGCCATACAATACTTATCCCTCATCTGGAAGTCATCTGGATCCATTACGCTACTCGTCCAACCTTCCAGACGTGCTAGTATTGCCTTCCTGAAATAAGGGGCAATACTCAGGTAAGGGGCACAGTGCATGAGCTGAGGCCAAAGCCCTTCAGATCCAGTTACCCTTTGAGTACGACCTTAACAGTTACCTCCTGTTCCGTCTTGCTGATTGATCCTTGTATGAATCTTCATCTCCGAGTTCATTTAGTTATGTTCCGTCTTACTTACTAATGTGTTTCCACATGCTCATACATAGCCTTGCTCCTTTGCTTACTGATCCTCTCAGATAGTCTCCAGTATATAACCCCTGTAGATACTCCTGTAGTTTCCTCAGTTTGAATATCATCTTAGACCTTGCTCTATCTGCCCAATCCTCTCTTGGACTTTGGTCCAGCTAATTCTGTCCTACCCATCAGGCCTAGGGATTGATCCCCTAGGCTGGAGCTCCACCTTTCCAGCACTTCCCCTCTTTCTGGACTTAGGTCCAATCCCTGACCCTCCAACTCTACCTTAGTGTAGTCTTCCCCTGTTTGTTTCTACATCAGACTTTGTCTGATGTAGCCCCTATTCCTTCCAGACCTTCAGATGTCCTGTCTTTCAGATGTTCCGCCCTCTGTACACTCAGATGTTCCATCCTCCTAACTCTTGGACATCCTGCCCTCTGTACCTCTGGACATCCTGTCCTTCTGTCCTCCATCATCCTGCCCTCCTGTCCTCCGGACCTCCTATCCTTCCATCCTGTTTCCTGTAGAAGTATTACCTTGCAGTGGGGAACTCTCCTGAACACTTCCTGCATTCCTCTGGAACTCTCCCATGCTCCTCTGGATGTTTCCCACGCTCCTCCGGAAGTCCTCTAGCACTCCACCAGAGTAGCCAGCCTCCAGAAGTCCTCCGGACTTCGTCAGACCATCATCAGACCTCATATGAAATGAAGGGCACATACTCGGGTAAGGGGCACAGTGTATGAGCTGAGGCCAAGCCCCTCTGAGTCAGTCTCTCTCTCCTTTGAGCAACATGGTTCTTAACAGTATTCAGGCTTTTGGGTTTTGGGTTTCTGTGGTCAATGGTAGGTATATGCACTCATATAGGGGTATGTACTCCATGTCTTTGATTCTCTGGTGCCTACATCAGACAACTGATTTATTCATTATCCAACTATCTAAGCCCAGTAATGTTTATATGTGATAACAACTACCTCAGCCCACCTGTTGATATAATATATATCACTACCTCAGCCTATGCGACCATACAACCATATAGTATACCAATACCTTGGCCCTTATGTCTATGGACTGTCTTCCAAGGTATCACTGCATTCTGAGTCAACAGGGTGCTTGGCTGTGTTGACTTTGATTGACATGGACAGGATCTGAGTCTGAATGTCATTGATGACTTGGATCAAAACTAGTGCAACAGCATTGCTCATATGTCCATATAGTATACCAATACCTTGGCCCATATGTCTAAATGATATGTATCTGGGCCCACCCATCTATATGACATCCTCCTATGTTGGCCCACCTGTATATATAATCAATATTTCACCACTCCCTTGGCCCACCCATCTATATAATAATATCTGCCTTACATCTCTCTTCAGCCCAGCTGCCTATAATATATGTCTATCCTACTCTACATATTACCCAGATGGTGCCGCCCATCTCCATTGGTAATAATATTTCTCCCAGCCCATCTGCCATCATTGAGGATATTTATAATATCAGCATAGATGGGCCCACCTGTCAACATTGAGGATATACATAACATCAGCCCATAGTCTGCTGGCCCATCTTATACAGGATATTATGTAGGTTGGGTGACCCATATAATACGCAGTTTGTCACTGAAGGGGCTCTGTTCCACCCTCACAAGTCATAAAATCACATTGATCTGGGTTGTCAACCAACAGGCTAGAGGCCTAGAGTTAGAGATAGGGACAAAAATGGGGAAATTGTCTCATACTGGGCCAATTCCAGCAAGATCCAGCCATCCTCTCATGTCTGGTGAAGGTTCAACAACTCTGCTGGCTTGCAGAGCAGAAGAAAGAAAGAGGGCTCTCACTCTGGGGTGAGAGAACACCTACTGACTCTCCAGATGTCTGCATCATGAGTATACTTGATAACATACTTAATGTGCTGGGTGCCCGATAAGTTGTTCATCTGGCCAATGTGGTCTACATGCTGTAAGTGCACAAGGACTGCAAATGGGTCTCCTGTCAAGCATGGCACATTTGGGTGCCTGGGCCAGGGCATTTCATCTCTGTTGACCAGGTTGTGTGCAAGCAAAGTGTGGAAAAATGTGAAAGAATGCAGAAAGGTGAAAAGGTGAAAAATGTGGATGAAGTGTTGGAAGCGCGAGTAGGCGGAATAGAGTTGAAGGGGCACATGGATAAGCTGACTGTTCCCCTCATGGTGGGCTCCAGTTGAAGGTTCAACAACTCTGCTGGCTTATAGAGCTAACGAAAGAAAGAGGGCTCTCACACTAGGGTGAGAGAAAGGCCATCAGCTCTCTAGATGTTGGTCAGAGTGCGCCAGGCAATATGTTCAACCCTTAAGGGAAGCAAAGAAAGCAAAGATCCATGAAGTGATGCCTGGTCAACTCTGGTGAAGCATGATGAGTGTGCATGCAGGAATATGGAGTGCATAGGTGCATGAAGTGTGGGAATAAGGCACAAGGAGTGCATGAATGTATCAAAGACTGGTGGAAGTCATGAGGACATGAACTAAGACTGCTGAGTGATGATTAATGATGATAGACTGTGCTGAGGACTAGGGTGATGACTAACACATACTGACTGAAGATGATAGGTTCTGACTGCTAGAGAACTACTGACATGATGATGGTTGTTGTATGAAAACTTCCTAGGCAACAGGTAAGCTGTGCCTAGGTGCACTCCCAGGGCTCGGAAGCAAATAGGAAGCGCTCTATGTATGTAAGTAAGGTAAGAAAGGGGTCCATGATGAAATAAGATATCATACAATGCTAAATATGGTCTGATAATGAGAATAAATGAGAAGGGACTCACTAGGGGACTGGTTGGACAATGGATGGATGCTCCAGGATGCTGCATGACAAAGGGTGACAGAGCACAGGAAGAGCATGCTTAGTGTGGGAAAGTGTCATGCATCTGGCATGTTTTGCAAGACAGTCATAGATAGTGAGTGAGGCCAGGCACAACCTGCCCTGTTGGGTCATTGATGATATGAAACACGGCCTGATTGACCATGAGACAATGCCAACCATTGATAATCCCCACACTTTGGCTCCTGCTGAGGGGGGTTGCCTTTCCAAGGATTTTTTATGCTTGCCCTTGACTGCCAGCCATCTTGTTTCAAGACCTTCTTGTTAATGTCACGTCAACTTTGTCCTACCTCATCAATCACCTTTGTGGTGGGCTGGTGAGATTTTGTAACATCCCAGGTTATGGAATCCAACAGGGTGATGATATTGTAATTGTAAGAGGTGGCCCAGCACTCAGAGCTACTTGGCCACACTGGGATGATCTGTTCTAACTTCTTCAATAATGCTGTATATTCCTCAAAGGTACTCCACATATCATTTGCATTCCATGAAGAACTAGAGGAGCAGAAATGAATGGGGGCCTCTCTGTCTCATGCCCAATCACTAGGTTAGCACTTTTGACCCTTTAGAAGTGGCTTACTCACCTGGGATTTTTGGTCAAATCCAAACCTCCCCAGACAGCAGTAAAGCAACTTGTGACCCTCCGGAGGTTCTCCTTGCTCAACTGTATGATCCAAGTAAAAGTTTTGAATTCCATATACAGTGGCTCAAAAGTGTCTCAATGTTTGAGACTTTTCATGTAATTGCTGTATTATGAGCCAGGGCGTGAGAATATGACTAAGCCATAGGGAGGCGTGGGAAAGCTCTGCTTCTAAGCTTTATGTTTGATCCCTATAGCGTGGGAGTATTATGTCATCAAGTGAAGATATGGTTAATTTAATTTGGTGACTCATTGAGACACTTTTTTGACTTTCAGTTTGGCTAACACAATCTCTATAATTCTAGTACTTGGTGCTTCCTTCTGTTGCTCTAATTACTTCCACCACTCTTCTATGCATACTATCTATCAATTTGAGGCATTCCTCATCAACAATCTTGTTTTATTCTGCTGCAACTCTCTCCCACAGCTGAAATAGCCCCTATTGTTATTATCATCAGCTTTTCTAATCTGTATACCAGGCAGATTGCTACCAAAACTGGTCAGAGCAGGATTACTATCATTAGGATCATAAAAAAGTCATGCCAGATAAGAAAAATATCAAACTAGATTGTCCTTTCAAGCTTACACCATATAACAAAAAATCTCTTGTTCATAATATTGGGTATGATATATTCCTTGTCGACTCATGGATCCTCAACCACTGAGGTTTGAAATGGATTGTCAATGCCTAGCTGCGCTCGTGACAAATCCTCAACCAGAGGACCGGGACCAACTATTCAAGTGTATGGTACTAGTAATCAGTATTGTTGTTGCCACAACACATAGTATACTACAGTCCATATATCCTAAAGATCCAGAACCCTACCATACTTCAGCTCTATCCGGGCAAGACTGGGTTATCGAGTTGCTCACCGGTCACCCAGAATGCATCAGGTGTGAGCTTGGCATGCATGCCAATACTTTTGTGGAGCTTATCTCTGAGCTTTGCACCATGGGCCATTCAGACTCCAAGTTTGTCTCCCTCAAGGAACAACTTTCAATTTTTCTCTACACCTCTGTGACTGGCCTATCAATCAGGCATGTTGCGGAGAGATTCCAATGCTCGCATGAAATGATTTCACAGTGAGTTTTTTTATTTTATTTTCAGGGACAGTATTTGATAGTATGTAGTTATTTCCGCAAGATGCTTGTCATTTTCATGTCCGACCCATTCTATCCAAAATATGTACACTTTCCAGATGGTTCAGTCCCTCATGAAATTCGGAAGAACCCTAAATGGTGGCCCTTTTTCAAGGATGCTATTGGGGCACTTGATGGCAGTCATATCCACGTCACACCTAAGGCCATCGATCATCCCATTTATTGTAACTGCAAGGGCTTCATATCCCAGAACTGCCTCTTTGCTTGCAACTTCAATCTCAACTTCACATACATGCTTATGGGCTGGGAAGGGTTGGCCACTGATGCATGTGTTTACAAGGATGCCCGCACTTTCGGCTTTTGCGCTCCCCCTGGACAATATTTTCTTGCAGGCGCAGGATACCCTCTACGTCCTGGGCTACTTGTACCCTACTGAAGTGTGCGTTATCACCTTGCCAAATGGGGTTGTGTAAATTTATGGTAAGTTCTCAATTGATTCACAAACATTGTGCTAAGTTCTAAGTTTTACAGGCCCTCGAATAAAGAAGAATTGTTCAATTTACGTCATGCATCAGCACGAAACATCATTGAGTGCATCTTTGGCATTCTCAAAGCAACGATTTTGCATACTACTTCTACCACCTGCATACACTATGGAGATTCAAGCGCAAATTCCAGCTGCACTGTGCACCATACACAATTACATTTGTATACATGATCCTAGTGAGGGTCATCCACCCACTGATAACGAAGATGATGAAGACGGATTTTTGGAGGATGGTCTTGGCGCTGATGTGGCTGTGGAAGATGATGCTGCAGCTATTGAGGAGGATAATGAGAATGAATTCTGTCAAGGAGCTGCAATGCATGATCGCATTGCAGCAGTGATGTGGACTCAATATCAGTGTGTCGTACTGGAATGGGGTTTAGAAGGGCTTGATATCATGGATGAGAGGATGATGGTGATGACGGCAAGGATGCTGCAAGTGATGTGTAGTTTTACTTAGTACTTAGTCTGCTCCAAATCAATGAAGAAAGTGCTTTGTTATTGGCCACAGGTAGTAGTACAAAGTATAGAGAAGTAGCGAGCGATACAACATGATTGAAAACAAACAACATAGACGACTCAGCCCATCATTTCAGCATCAGCATGCCTGACAGCATCACCTGCATCAACTTCCTCGCCAATCAGCTTCGCCACAACCTGCATGCCTCATACACTTCTCCTGCATATTCACATAGAACTTCAGATAATGTTCATTGCCCTTCAAGCCAATTGTAGTGATCAATGCAGCCTGCTGGCCTGGCGGTAGGTCAGAGTCTTCACCTTCCAAGATTTTGACAGCTCACATCACCAAGTCCTCACTACCTTGCGCACCATTGGGCCCTCCTCTAACAAACCATTTGAAGACATCAGTGAGCCGGTTGATGGTGCCTTGCATCCCCACCACAGCAGCTGCTGGCGTGATCTTTGCAGCCTTGGCAGCACTGCTAATCTTTGTGATGCGGCTATTCTGGGACACTACTGGTGTCCATGGTTTCTTGGATGGGGGGGATGACACCAATGTGGTGGAAGGAGGTTGCATGGACGACATGTGCATGGAGCTGAATGATGTTGTCTCAATGTCCCCCGTCACATCTGAATACGGGCACTTGCTAGCATTAGAGCCAGCAGTGGTAGACATAGCGGTGGAACATGCCACAGTGGAGCTAGTGATGGAAGTAGTGATGGCGGCAGCACTTGATGGGCCAGCAGCAGTGGCAATTGGAATAGCAGCCTGTGGGGCAGTATCCATGAGGTTGGTATCAAGATTGGTGATGGAGGGAATAGCGCTACCTGGACGGAAAGCATCCTGTCCTCTAGCGCCGCCCAATGGTATAATGGCATGCATTTTTTCATAGTGCTCCCATCCTTTGTTGCAGAATGAATGCATGGGTTGGTTTACCTAACAGGATGTAAGCTCTCAAATCAATATAAAAATGTGGGGAAATACCTTGACAGCAAGATACGATTTCCACACAGCATCAGCTGCAGATTCTTCGATCCCAGCTCCAGTCTCATTGTCCCAGTGGACCCCTGTCTGGTTGCAGTACTTCTCAATAGAATTGAAGGTGGCTTTGAGCTAGAGGACTTGTTAGCTTAGATCAGAGCAGATCAAATCTGACGTACTAATGTCCACTTGCTTTGAACTGCTTTTGCTGTCTTCAGTGCACCTGACTGCTTGGCTTGAAGTGGCTCATGGGTGTTGATGAACACTGCAGCATTCTCAAGAACCTGTTGCTTGAAGTTGCCTCCCCCTTCAGCCTGTGAGTGATGCTCATATAGATAGTCGATAAGGGTAGCAATGTTGTCCTCATTCCAATGGACAGAGGGGGCCTTGGGCTGACAGGGAGCATTGACTTCAGGTTGGGCCATGAGAAGAGTAGTGTACTAGGCACAGATCGCAGTGATCGCAATAGCACCTAGCAAAAAGCCTCTTGTGCCGCTCTAGGGTAAGATGAGGGTAGATATCCATCGATAATATGTACAGTAGGAGAGAGACAAAGTTCAAGCTCACAACATCTTGGGACAATGCCAATGAACTTCATGTAAACATCAACAAAGTAAATATTGGCCAACATTGAGTTTCCGAACTAGCTCTAAGACATTACCTTCTATCAAGACAATGTCCCTAAGCATACTTCAAGTTGACCATAAAATGGTTTGAAAACTATGGTATCAGTGTGCTATCATGGCAAGTCTAGTCCTCAGACCTCAACCCTATTGAACAGCCCTGGTAATTACTCAAGATGTTACTTGCAGTCTATCAAGATCCTCAATAGGGGTTATTTTAGCTATGGGAGAGAGTTGCAGCAGAATAAAACAAGATTGTTGATGAGAAATGCCTCAAATTGATAGATAGTATGCATAGAAGAGTGGTGGAAGTAATTAGAGCAACAGAAGGAAGCACCAAGTACTAGAATTATAGAGATTGTGTTAGCCAAACTGAAAGTCAAAAAAGTGTCTCAATAAGTTACCAAATTAAATTAACCATATCTTCACTTGATGACATAATACTCCCACGCTATAGGGATCAAACATAAAGCTTAGAAGCAGAGCTTTCCCACGCCTCCCTATGGCTTAGTCATATTCTCACGCCCTGGCTCATAATACAGCAATTACATGAAAAGTCTCAAACATTGAGACACTTTTTTGAGCCACTGTAAACTGGCTGGAGGTTATTGTCTTGTGAGGTGTGAATTGTATGTCACATCAACAGCTGTATCAGAGATTAGGTAGGGCTCTGTATACTGGGGACAATCAGCTTACCACTTCATTGATGTACACCCTTCTGTGACCTGTGGGAATGTCTATGTCTGGCAGTTCAAGGTGTTCCACCTCAAAAATGAGACCCTTGATGTTAATGATGCCCATCAGGTATGTTGCCTCCCAGTGAGGTAGAGTGGTTACTGTCCAGTCATAAGGGGTCTTCTCTTGCACTTAATGCAAAGTCTTCTGCCATGCCAGGTCCAGTACCACCAGAACATTCCTCATCTCATTAACTGGCAAGTTGAAGATCAGCCTGGCTAGTAAGATAGTGGTTGACAGGCATCACATGCCAAACATCATGACTGTTAAGAACCATGCTCAAGGGAGAGAGAGACTGACTCAGAGGGGCCTGGCCTCAGCTCATACACTGTGCCCCTTATCTGAGTATGTGCCCTTTATTTCAGAGGAAGTCCTGATAATGGTCCGATGAAGTCCAGAGGACTTCAGGAGGCTGGCTACTCTGGTGGAGAGTGCGGGAGGACTTCTGGAGGAATGCAGGAAGTGCTCAGGAGAGTTCCCACTGCAAGGTAATACTTCTATAGGAAACAGGATGGAAGGGTAGGAGGTCTGGAGGACAGGATGTCTGGAGGTATACAGGACAGGACATGAAGGTATGGAGGACAGGATGTCCAAGGGTTAAGAGGACAGAATGTCCGAAGGTACAGAGAGTGGAATGTCTGAAGGACAGGATGCCTGGAGGTATGAGGGACAGGACATCTAGAGGTACAGAAGACAGGAGGTACAGAAGGAATAGGGGCTACATCGGATGAAGTCCAATGTAGAAGCAGACAGAGGTAGACTACCCTTACGTAGAGTTGGAGAGACAGGAAGTGGACCAAAGTCTGGAGAGAGGGTAAGTGCCAGAAAGGCAAGACTCCAGTCTAGGGAAGTAGTCCCTAGACTTGGGACAGAGACATAGGGGACAAATCTGAAGGTCTGGAATTCCAACCTAGGGAATCCTTCCCTAGGCCTTATGGAAAAGGATGAGACTCAGATGGACTGAAGTCTGGAAGATGATTGGGCAGATCTAAGGTGATATTCAGACTGAGGACTCTACAGGAGTTGTACAGGGGTTATATACTAGAGGATATCTGAGAGGATCAGGTAGCAACAGAGTAAGGCTATGTACGAGCATGTGGAAACACATTGGTAAGTAAGATGGAACATAAGTAAATGAACTTGGAAATGAAGACTCATACAAAGATCAATCAGCAAGATGGAAACAGAGATAACCAAGAGCTGGAAAGGCGGAGATGCCTAAATGGAGATAGGTGCAGGATCTCAGATGGAGGGTGGGAATGGTCCGGAGATCTGGGGATCTGGAAGGCAGGGCGGAAACAGGACTGAGATATGTGAGGTGGTGGATGTAGTCCGGAATCCAAGAGGAGGTAAAGTCTGGATGTCTTGCTAGATGGAATGTGCATATAGTGGACAGGATAGGGGTGTATGGATCAGGCTAGTAGTGAGGATCCGGAGATCCGGAGCTCAGGGGTAATTCCATAGCAGAGCTAATCCTGCTTAGATATCAAGCACATGGCAGAAGGGGATCTGGGAATGAGTCAGATATGGGGTCTGGAAATAGGTCCGGAAAGCGTGGGAATATGATGGGATCTATGTCTGGCATACAGGATATGACAATGACAGAGTGACAAAAGACAAAAAATGTAATAACTATTGGTCAAGCCATTTCTACATCAATTGTGTACTCAGTTACCTCAGTAGTAATATTGTGAACATGTCACCTTATTCACAATGAACAGAAGTGAAGCAGAAAGTTTTTCATTCCAATTTCTTCTGTTATTGAAAGTGGCTGTCAGTAGCACAGTACTATGCATGATACTTTGACACAGTTTGCTGTGAAGCCACATCAGATTTGAGATTTACAAAAGATTTTGTGCACTTTGTATCCATACATTGTAATCCTCTGTAAATGGCCCCAGGCCATATTACCTTGTGGAGCAAGGTCATGTGGGTGTGTGTGCAGTCATGCGCTCATAAACAATTGCATACAGATTACCTAAATATAAACTAACAATTAAGAACACAATAATATTACTGTAATGATACAATACACTAGACTTTGTCAACCTAGATGCCAAAATCTGAAGCAGTAGTTAAAATTATAGCTTCCTGTACAGTCAAAGAAATCCCTGCAATAAAAAAGTTTGAGTCATGAGGTCATAAGTTTGCATGGCAAACCCCTAGTGAAGAGAAGTACTTAGGAAGATAGGGCTGCCCCAACAAATTATAATTTTGGTGTTAATGATGTCACAAACTTTGCACAAACAAAAGAGTACTAGCTGTTATGTGATGTATGTCATGTAGCACATAGTCGGTAAATTGATGTAAAACTGCATAGCAGAGGTGCAGGTGGTGCACATGCATGTGAGCACTTGACAAAAGTGGGATTGACTCAACCGATGCAATGCATCAAATTGACAATGTTAATGATGTAATGTTGTTACAACATGATACCTATTGTTGAGAATCTGTTAAGGTCATACTCAAGGGATAACTGGATCTGAAGGGCTTTGGCCTCAGCTCATGCGCTGTGCCCCTTACCCAAGTATTGCCCCTTATTTCAGGAAGGCAAGACTAACACATCCAGAAGATCAGACGAGTAGCATAGTGGATCCAGATGACTTCTGGATGGGGGATGAGTGTCATAGGGCTAATCTGGATGAGTCCAGACTAGAAACTAATGGTAATGGACTGTCGGAGACAGAGACAGATACGGATAGACTATAGGAATCAATCCTAAGTCTCAGAGGGTGATGAGAGTAGAGATACTCAAGTCCGGAGGACAGGAATGAGTAGAACTAAGATGATATTTGAACTGAGGTATTACAGAGAGTTACAGGAGGTTATATACTATAGGTATCTAACAGAATGATCAATCAGCAGAGACCGAGGCTATGTACAAAGCATATGGATAGTCTATTGGTAAGTAGAAACAGATCACAAATCATGAAACAGAAATGAAACATAGGTAATAGATCAGGGAGCAGGATGGATATACAGATAGCTGAAATACCAGAGTTAGGGGATGACCGAAAGGAGACAAGTGCTGATTGTGGATTCAGATGAATTGTGGACCGGACTGGATGAGTGGACAGAATGGATGATGAGATGCTGGAGGGAGATAAGATGTGGATCAGATCTGAGATCCAGATATGTGGATATGACAGAATCACACAATATCATAGCATAAATTAATGTCCAAACAATATTGCACACTATCTCAACTGTTTTGGCTATGTCCAGTAAACTTTCCTTGGTATCATGAGCTACTGTCTTGCTACATAAACTAATCAAAGCTGTTTGTGAGCCACAAGGATTATGTGGGAGTCAGGTGAAAATGAAGAACAGGTAAGCCTATCACAGTGCTGAGAAAGCTTAAATGTGCCAAACAAGTGACATCAGGGGCTGCCAGGATGTTAATGTTAAGTATGGGCACTGATAAATCATCAACCTGGATATTGAAGTCAATGAAGTTGTCACATAGAACACAGCAAATGAACTATGTTAAAATTTAAGCTAAATAGCAAGACAAGCTGCAGTACATCATAGAACAACAACTGGGTATAAGCTAGCTCCATCCTGATCAGTGCTCGGGTGACATATCATTGACCCTGTCACAAGTTGCATCTGTGGTTAATGTTCCTCCTACTATGCAATCATGCCCCAGGTGAATCAGGCATGTATAAGGGGTGGAGCCTCAAAACAAATGTCTGCATTCTGCCCTCTAATTCAATGGTGATTGTAACTTCCTTCCCTTTTGCATCGAAATCCGCAGCAGGAAGAACTTGTGCCTCCACCATGGAATTTCCAGGGGTGACAGTAGGGGAGGGAAGTAGAAACATAGGTGCAACTTCTGTGGGTCTGCACCTGGACAGTAGTATCACCACCAGTGAGTGGTGCTCTGCTTGCACAGCAAGCATAACACTGGATTTTCTAGTCTTCAGCTGTTGAGTGAAAGTGTCATAAAACTGTCCAGAGGGGGGAGTGTGGCTAAACTTCCACCTCTCCTGGATATAAACATCTCAAACATCAGGCTCTACATCCCATGGTTTAGAGTTAGCATTGAGTCTAAATTGATGGTAGAT